GAAGGAGAGAGGGAGGGAAGGAGAGAAAATAGCAACAGCACATAGGTTTATACATATCTTATATATAAGATCTTTTCGGACGTTGTGGAAAACTATTTTCATGTTATTCATAATTATTAATTTCAGTATTTTGATAGGGGCATAGCAATAGCACTTATATACCGCTTTCCAGCCCCCTCTAAGCGGTTTACAGAGTCAATATCTCGACTCCAACAATCCTGGTCCTCGTTTGACCCACCTCGGAAGGACGAAAGGCTGAATCAACCTTAAGCCGGTCAGGATCAAACTCCCGGCAGTGGGCAGAGTCAACCCGCAATACTGCCTTTTAACCGGTGTGCCACCGGGGTTCCTTATGACGGGCTACATCGCACTTAACGACTGTTGCAGCAGCATTCCCAGGGTCACGTGATCCGACTTTGGATGATTGGCACCTGCCCCGGGGTTTACAGCCATCGCAGCATCCTTGGGGTCACGGGATCCCCTTTTGTGACTTTCCTAGCTGACTTCTGAGAGGCAAAGTCCATGCGGGGAAGCCGGATTCACTTATTCGCTTCAGAACTGCAGTGCTCCGCTTAACGACCGTGGCAAAAAAAAGGGTTGTAAAATGGGGCACAATTCATTGAACAGCTAACTGCAGTCCTTAGCCACGGAAGTTTGGGATCCAGTTGCAGTTGTAAGTCGAGGATTGCTTGATCTTAGAAAAAAAAAATGCCTTAAATATGCCCTGGGACAGATTAAAGCTTGGTATACGCAGGGTTCATTTTGTGAGTGGTGCCGTGGTGGCCTAGAGGTGGAGCCCTCGCCTCACAATCAGGAGGCTGTGAGTTCGATCCTAGGTAGGAGGCGGGTATTTCTCTCTCTGGCCACGGTGAGAATAGATCTGCTGAACAAAACTCCGCATTGGCAACAGGGAAGGCATCCGGCCAGTAAAACGCTCTGCTAGCTCCATCCAGTTGCTCAGACTCCGCCCCCGCCAGGGATTTACGGGTTCGTGACAATGATGACGACACGCAGGGTTCATTTTAAGACGGTTTTGTGTCTTTCAGCCGATCGCAACGACGCCCCCGCAGCCCGGCTTGAAAGAAGAGCTGCTGAGCCAAAGCAGCAGCGAGACGCAAATCTCAAACACCAGCGGTGTGTCCTTGGGAGAGGCCATTAGGCGGAGGTCTCTCATGACTCAGGTAAGTGTGAGACCCCCCCCTCCCCCACCAGGGCAGCCATTTTCTGGCATCCGGTCAGAATCCAGGTAGTCCTCGACTTACAACAGTCCCAAAAAAAGGGGGCAAAACTCACTTAACAAATGTCTCACATGACAACATAAATTGTGGCTAGGCTCAATTGTGGTCGTAGGTTGAGGACTACCCCTATATACTTCTCTTTCCCCGAAAATAAGATCGGATCTTATTTTCTTTTGGGCCCCAAAAATAAAGCCTAGGGTTTATTTTAAACCCTATTTTGGGTGGGGGTCTAATTCCCCCCTCCCTCAATATATAGGAGGCTCACTTCTTCTGCTTTGTCACGGGGGGCAGGAGGTCGCGTAGTGGTGGAGTCGGACTCTGAGGAAGAGGAGGAGCAGCCGACAGAGAGTGGAAGTTTGGCTCCGGGGGTTGTGGAGGAGGCTGGGGAAAGGCAGAGGCCGGCTGGGCAGTCAGAGGAAGAACCAGACCCATCCTCTCTTCATCCTAGGACATGCAGGGAGGAACGGAGAAGGAAACAACTTGGCTTGCGAGAGAGGAAGCGGCCATGATCCCCCTCATTGGTTGCAGCTGGGGAGAATAGTATATAAGAGAGACGGTTAAAACACAGCGTTACCAGAAGCAAAACGTGTTTTATTTGGGGCTGAAGTTATCTTGGTTGGTGCCCTTCCAACAGACTGTGCCTTGTTATCTCTTTGAAGTTGGTAATTACTTATCCTGGTCCGTTGTGGAAATTCCTTCATTGTAGTTTGTTTTGGTTTTTTATTTCACCTCTATCTGCTCATTGAGCTCGGACTGTATTGCTTCCTTTTGAAAACTATTTTTGAATAAGTTTTTATCTCCAACTGGGAATTATTGAACAGTGGAGCCAAGTTGGAGGCATTTAAGGACATTTATTTACGTTTTGGATTTTGTTACGTTTGTGTTACACTCCGGGTCATCACACGTAGTGTGGCAGAGCCGCCATTGCAGTGGGGGGGTTGAACTGCCCGATGCGCCCTGTACCAGCTTCCCTCAGCCAGGCCATCCACACCCCGACACCTGCCTCGCCTCATAACTGTGGCACCAACCCACTACTCAGCCTCCTGCTCCATCGTAGCCATGAGCAAGCCGACGTGGGCCAGCAGCCGCATGGGCTCCCACTGCAAATGGCTTGGGTGGTGTTGCCATGAGGCAGGTCTCGGGGCGTGGATGGTCTGGCTGCGGCGGTCCTGAGGTAAGCTGGTGCGGGGCACCTAAGGCCGCTCCACCACTGCACCTTGTGGCTGCTGCAGTGCGAGCAACCAGACAGAATGGGCAAGCGGCCAGCTGTGCAGGCTCTTAAGTAGGGCTTCTTTGGGGGGGAGGTGGATGTAGGGCTTATATTAGGTGCACGTCTAAAAACATGTATGATTTGATTGCTTATTGTACCCTGTGACTGTTATGTGTTGTACCTGATGATTCTTGACTCTTGATGAATGTACTTTTTATGGACACTGAGAGCATTTGCACCAAGACAGATTCCTTGTGTGTCCAACCACACTTGGCCAATAAAGAATTCTATTCTGTTCTGTTCTATTCTATATTCTGTTCTATTCCGTTGTATTCCATTCCATTCCATTCTATTCTATTCTATTATTTCCTTATTCTATTCTGTTCTATTCTATTCTATTCTATTCTATTCTATTCTATTCTTTCCTTATTCTGTTCTGTTCTATTCTATTCTTATTCTATTCTTTCCTTATTCTATTCTGTTCTATTATTACATTACATTACATTACATTACATTATTCTACTCTATTCTCTTCTCTTCTCTTCTCTTCTCTTCTCTTCTCTATTCTATTCTATTCTATTCTATTCCATTCCATTCCATTCCATTCCATTCCATTCTATTCTATTCTATTCTATTCTATTCTATTCTATTCTATTCTATTCTATTCTATTCTTCATTATCTTATCCTATCCTATCCTATGGCTTATTTTCAGGATAAGTTTTATTTTCAGGGAAACGATATATATTTGTGTGTGTGTATACATATCCATACACACACACACATACACACGTCCTCAACCTATGACCACAGTACACACACGCACACACACACCCCTTTCTTCTCTTCCTTCAGGACCCAGAAGCCTGGTATCGTCTTTGTGCTGAAACGGATATCAGCAATCTCGTGGGTTGGAGGCCGGGCCAAACCCCAGGCGGCTGCAACGTAACAGAATTTCCGACTATGGAGGAAGGCCTGCTCACTCCCACCGTGAATTTTAGAAGACCTCAAGCGTCTGGGATGACCCACTCCCCCGTCCTGGGTGAGTTTTGCCCTCCTGTTTGTTTTGTTGTTGTTTTTAAATAGCATTAACAGGAGTTGGTTTGCAAACTTCAGAAAGGAACCATTCGAGCCGGGTTTCTCAACTGTGGCAACTTGAAGACGTGTGGACTTCAACTCCCAGAATTCTCCAGCTAGACATGTTGGCTGTGGAATTCTGGGAGTTGAAGTCCATTCATCTTAAAGGACGATGGTTGAGCAAGTCTGTGAATTGAACTTGTCCCTCTTAAAGCATGCTGGCTCTGGAATTCTGAAGTCCATCTGTCTTAAAACAAGCTGGCGGAGGAATTCTGGGAGTTGAAGTCCACCCATCTTAAAGCATGTTATGTTGCCTGAGTAATCCACCCTTGTTAAAACATGTTGGCTGGGCAAATCTGAGAGTTAAAGTTTACCGCAAACCGTGATGGCTGAGAATTGGGGGAGTTGAAGTCCATCCATTTTAATGGATGTTGGCTAGGGAATTCTGGGAGCTGAAGTCCATGCATCGTAAAACATGCTGGCTGGGGGATTCTGGAATGGAGTAAAATAGGAATAGCTAATAGAAGAATAGAATAGAAATACAGAATACACTAGGGAATGGAACCAAATGGAATAGAATAGGAATAGAAAATAGAAGAATGGAATGGAATAGAATAGAAATACAGAATAGAATAGAATAGAATAGAAATATAGAATAGAATAAGAATAGAATAGAAATATAGAATAGAATAAGAATAGAATAGAAATACAGAATAGAATAGAGAATGGAATGCAATAGAGTAGAATAGAAAATATGGAATGGAATAAAATAGGAATAGATAATTGAAGTATAGAATAGAATAGAACAAATACAGAATAGAATAGGGAATGAAACTGAATGGAATAAAATAGGAATAGAAAATAGAAGAATGGAATGGAATGGAATAGAAATACAGAATAGAATAGGGAATGGAATGGAATGGAATAACGGAATGGAAAGGAATAAAATAGGAATAGAAAATAGAAGAATAGAATAGAGTAACTTTATTGTCACTTCGAATGTACACCAATTGGCATACATTAAAAATGAAATTCCATTGCGCACAGCTCTCTGAAGCGTCACCAGCTCCAGTTTTACACTACATGGAGATGACAAGATAAATAAATGAATACAAAATTAAGCATATACCCACCGATATTATATGACACAGAGAAACAACACAGTCTCTAGTTAATACGTGTTTATGGCGAGAAAAACGAATCTTGTGAGTTTGCCAGCCAGATGGGATAAGGGAACAAAGTTCTTATAAAATCTGATAGTCCTGCTAGAAATATTTCAAAACCTCCTCCTCGAGAGGAGCAACAGACACAGACCATAAAGCAGGTGCATGGGTGTTATGACTCCCCTTCAAAATTCAAACGAACAAAACAGAAAGCAGCCGTTTCACAATTAAATCAAACAGAAAGAAGTCTTATAAGATAACGGCTGGCAGAAATCTCAATTCACAGCATAAATCTTTACTCTGTCCGGCAAACCAGTCCTGGCAATAAATCTCCAGTCTCAGAGCTCCTTGCTGTAACGTCCTCACTCAATAAGTCACTTTGTTCCTGGCAAATTGTACCAGCCCAGCTGTGTCCTTTTATACTCATTGAGGCAACGTGCTAATTTACTGACTCGCTCTCCTCCTTCGCTCCAGCTGATTTTGCCTTTTCAACCGTCTTCTATTTTTTACATTTAACCACAAATTTTCCAAGTTCTCATCTCCACTAGAAGACTCTCTCAAAACTTCCCTGTCAGCCATTCCCGGCTATTGATCAGATAAGGAACCAGAGGAGGTCAAAGGTCCTGACAATTCTAATACATCAGGTCTGTCGTCCTTTGTCACGTCCATCTCCTCATCCTGGTTACCAGTCCAATCACTGAGCCATGCCGGCTCATATTTTTCTGCCATGTCCTCCTCACTTGAACTCATATCAGTCACAGGAGCTGAATCCAAGCCCGGAGCCACAACACATGGGTGTGTGTGTGTCTTAAAACACAGTTTGCATTTAAGTTTCTGTTAATATGCTTCAGTAGTCCTCCTTCGGGGACAAAAGAACTTCTTTTTTTTCCTCCAGAAAACGCTATCCTTTTAAAGAACATTTCACTCTCGGGGGTTTTAAAGACATCAATAGGCCAGGCTTTTAAAAAGTCAGTTGGAGAATACCCCCTTCTCCCCTCCTTCCCCAATAAATAGATTTCTGTGCCAATGAGAGATGGGCTAAGTAGTTGGTGTCACCTGTCGCCTACACCGGCGGATCTGCCTAGTAACCGAAGGATTAGCATTTCCACAGGAAAGGAAGGCAGGCCGACATAAACCACCTACATGCTCCCCCTGCGTATATGACAGGCAGGTTTTCCCAACACAGGAAGTTGAACATTTATGAAATCCCGGCTTTGACTCGTCTTAAAATGGAGCCTCCTGTTGTGGTTCGTTGGCAGCCTGTGCAGTCGGCAGCGGAATCGGACAGTGGGGAAGAACGGGGACCAGTCCTGGAGTCTGGAGAGGACTCGGACGAGGGTCCTGCATCCGATGCAGAGATGGGGCCAGGACCATCTGGGAGTGGGGTGCTGCCTTTGGAGTCTGGCAGAAGCGAGGAGGAGGACCCAGGGGAGCCTGTTCCCAGTGCGCGTGTGCGCAGAGCTGCCAGAAGGCAAGAACAGTTAAGACCAAAGGGGCGACTCAGGAGTGAGGCTGGGAGGCGATGGCCCCTCCCCTAAGGTATAAAAATCAGGCCAAGGTGATGAAATCTTTGCAGGAAGCAAAGTCATTCAGTCGGTTCAGAGTCATCCCTGAAGCTCTTTGTGCTTCGGTTGGTTTTTGTTGTACTTCAGTTGGTTTCTTTTCTAGTTCATTTGATACTTCTGGTTTTGGCAGCACTTCACAGAACTGAAAGGCGGGTGCTGATCTTGAGGGACTGTTTGAGATTAATTCGGGCTGGGAATGAAAACGATTCCCAGCATTGCAATAAAATAGGTTTGGCTTTTAAAGCAAGCTTGTGAATAATTACGGTTTACGAAGCCTGGGTCAGAACCCCTCCACCAGCTAACGATGCTTCACTGGACGCTGAAACGAGACAGGACATTTCTAGACTTATAGTTACTGTTTTTGTTGACCATGTTTTGGACTTGATTCTCTGCAGCCGAGGGCTGTTTCTGGGAGAGTTTTTCTTGGGTCATCACAAAAGGTTTCCTCTGTTACTATAACATGGAAATTCTGATCCCAGAATTTGTGGTCATAAGTCGAGGACTTTCCCATCTGGAGCCCTGAATCTCAGTCCACCTCCGAAAACCACGCCGTCACCGATGAACCTTCCTGGAGGATGTTCTGTTCCGCCAGCTGCGCATGCAACACCCCTGATTTCTCATCTGGCCCAAACTTAATTAGTTTTTTTTAAAAAATCAGAACGTCACAGAGGAGTTTATCACATGCTTTGCGGAGTCACCGCTTTGGCCCCCATCTCGGAAGGAAGCGACCTCATCGAAAAACTGAATTAATAATTGGGAGGCCGGCTTCACGGTGAATTAATGGCAATGACTGATGACTGTCAGGGGCGTTTCTTGCATGACAGCAAATGGGTAGGGGGGCAAAGGTTTTAGGGGCAGGGGTGGCTTTGTGGGGTTTGTGGCACAGGCCAAACGGAGCACAAAGACGATTAGAATTAGAATTAGAATATAGAAAATGGAATGGAATAGAAAATGTGGAATGGAAGGAAATGGAATGGAATAAAAAATAGTAAATAGAATGGAATGGAGTAGAATAGGACAGAACGGAATAGAATATTTGGAATGGAATGTGATGGAATACAAAAAATGGAATGAAATGAAAGGGAATAGAGTGGAATGGATCAGAACCGAATCAAATATTGGAATGGAGTGGAATGGAATGAAGGGGAATAGAGTGGAGTGGAATGGATCAGAACCGAATTGCATACTGGAATGGAATGGAATGGAATGAAAGGGAATAGAGTGGAATGGATCAGAACCGAATCAAATATTGGAATGGAGTGGAATGGAATGGATCAGAACCGAATCAAATACTGGAATGGAGTGGAATGGAATGAAAGGGAATAGAGTGGAGTGGAATGGATCAGAACCGAATCG